GCGCCACGTAGGATTTCGCACTTCATATATAATTATATAGATTACTAATTATTTTATTACTTATAATATCCTTAAAGTTTCACCGAAAATCATACTCTAAAAACATCATTAAAGGTGATGCTTTAAAAGTATCTTAAACATTAATTTATTATTAATCATCTCTCTTTCTTCGAAGAACAATATCACTCATCTCTCTCTCTTTTGATACGGTTCAACACCAAAAGCCCTTTAATAATTAATTTTTTTTATTTTTTTTGGTGCTCTAAGTATCAATAAAATCTATTAAAAAAATTAAGTAAAAGATAGAAAATACAAAATGACGAAAATACCCCTGTAAAACCTAATAGGGTGAAGAATGAATGAGGTGCCCTTTTGTCCCATGAGTTTATTAAATATCATCAAATCTCTCGTCGCCCTTCTTTGCCCTTCTCCTTGTCCAGATTTTCCTCTTTCTCCTTACCCGCCAAATTCCTTCTCTTTGAAACTGCCGAATCCCTTTCGCTTTTGTGATCTTCCAGATTCCGATTCATATACCTTTTTATTCCGTGAGTTTCGATTTCCAATTTCCTTTTGAACCCTTGTTGTTTGTTGTTTTCTGGGTCGAAATTGCTCGAAAGCATACGATTTCGCGCACAAGAATCTCTTCTTTTTATCCGTGTTTGTTTGTGCCATCAATCGGGGTTTCGTGGCTGGAGGTTGATCAATTCGTAATTGTTGGGTGCCCGTATCCTTACTCTCTCATATGTCCCCTGATTTGGAATTTTTCCATCTTCTTGATTTTCTTAGAAACAATGAATTTGGGCATATAGAACATGGACAAGTATTGGTTTTGCGTATAGGATAGTGTTGCAAATCTAGAACATTGTTTTATATAGATGCTTCCAAGTTACTTAGTTAGCAAATTTTGTGCTATATTTTGGGTACTTAGGCTTATGGTTATAGCTCCCCTATTTTATTTAGTTTAATATGGAACCTGCTCTTGTGTGAACTTACAAGTTTTGGATTCGAGGAACTATTCTTTTGGCAAGTTCTTGTGTTCATTTTCGTTACATTGTTTTCTTGTTTGCAGGTCTATAAAAGACAGTACGAGTTGAGTTAGTATCTGGAACAGATAGTATCTGCATTTGACTTGGCCAACGCGATGAAATGGCAAATCACGAGCTGATGATGGCGGGTAATCACGATATCCCGTTTAGACAGGAGCATTTTTTGGAAACTCGACAGAACAGTGAACTGTATCCTACTCATGACTACAGTTTTGCTTTGGAACCGCTACACGAGACCAACCTGCAGATAGGTGTTCCCCGTGAGCAAAATGAGGTTTGGAATCACGACCAGGAACACGCACTGACTCTTCATAACTCAAGGACTCACATTGAAGAAATACATGAGCAACAATGTCTGGAAAGAAAAGATGAGGTTGATTCTCTAGAAAACCAAAATGAGAGCTACGACCATACTTTTGAACTCTCCTTTCATGACAACGATGACTCAGAAACTTCAGAGAGTGATAAGCTAGCTTTAGTAGTTTCTCAGGATCTCAATGATAACTTACAGTTGGGGGTGGGTCACTCCATGAATAGGGATCCCATACCTAGCCTAGACATAAGCCTTTCTCAGCAGCTAGAGTTGGCTCCTCCTATTGTTCAGTGCCGGTCTCTGGTTGCAGTTCCTGACCACAATTTGGTTGTTGGTATGGAATTTTCAGATGTCCTTGCTTGTAGGAGGGCACTGAGAGATGCAGCAATTGCCTTACGCTTTGAGATGCAGACGGTTAAATCTGACAAAACTCGGTTCACTGCAAAGTGCACTGGTGAGGGTTGCCCTTGGAGGATTCACTGTGCCAAGCTTCCTGGTGTACCAACCTTTACAATAAGGACTATTCACGGGAGTCACACATGTGGTGGTATTTCACACCTTGGTCACCATCAAGCTTCAGTTCAATGGGTTGCTGAGGCTGTGAAAGAAAGGCTGAAAGTAAATCCTCTTTGCAAACCTAAGGAGATACTGGAGGAAATTCATAAAGTTCATGGAATTACTCTATCATACAAGCAAGCATGGAGAGGGAAAGAACGTATAATGGCTGCTGTACGTGGGTCATTCGAAGAAGATTATCGCCTTCTTCCTCGATATTGTGATGAAATTAGAAGAACAAATCCTGGGAGCATCGCCGTGGTTAATGGATGCCCGGTTGACGGGAGCTTTCAGCAGTTATTTCTTTCTTTCCAAGCATCAATCTGTGGTTTTCTTAATTCTTGTCGACCTCTCATTGCATTAGACAAAATTGTTTTGAAGAGCAAATATCCAGGTACATTGCTGCTTGCCACAGGGTTTGATGGAGATGGAGCAGTATTTCCTTTGGCTTTTGCGATTATCGGTGAGGAAAGTGATAGTAATTGGCAGTGGTTCCTCTCGGAGTTGCGTCAGCTGCTTGAAGTTAATTCCGAAAACATGCCAAAGCTGACAATTTTATCTAGTAGAGATTCACCCATTGTTGATGGAGTAGAGGCTAATTTTCCTACAGCATTTCATGGCTTCTGTATCCATCATCTTGCAGAATGGTTCCGTGGGAAGTTCAACAACTCTATTCTTGTGAACCTTTTTTGGGAAGCAGCAAAATGTCTTACCGACTATGAATTTGATGCAAAAATCCACGAGATCGTCCAGATATCCGCGGAAGCTGCCTTATGTATCCGTAGCATCCTTCCCTCTTTATGGACCACATACTGCTTTGAAGGAACAAGGTTTGGACATCTCACTGCAAATGTTACCGAGTCACTTAGCGGTTGGATTCAAGATGCCTCAGGTCTTCCTATAATCCAAATGGTGGAGTGTATCCGTCGCCAATTGATGACTTTGTTCAATGAACGCCGTGAAACAAGCATGCAATGGTCTGGTATACTAGTTCCATCTGCTGAGAGACAAGTCCTTGAGGCTATAGAACAGTCTCGCGCATATCAAGTTCACAAAACAAACGAAGCACAATTCGAGGTCATGACCATGGAAGCAAAATTTATAGTGGATATTAGATGCCGTTCCTGTTTGTGCCGTGGATGGGAGTTATACGGTTTGCCTTGTAGCCACGCAGTTGCAGCACTCCTCTCTTGCAGACAGAACGTTTACCGGTTCACAGAGAATTACTTCACTGTGGCAAATTACCGGCGAACTTATGCTGAAACCATACATCCAGTTCCAGACAAAACCATGTGGGAGAAAACAGAACCTGAGAGAGAAAGTGTTGAGGATGGTGATGAGATTGTGATAAGACCACCAGGGGTTTTAAGACAACAGCCTCGGCCAAGGAAGAGGAGAAGTCAAGGAGAGGACCGTGGGCGTCAAAAGCGGGTGGTTCGATGTAGCCGGTGTAATCAGACTGGCCATTTCAGAACAACTTGCACAGCCCCTATATAAAAGCCTATTATATCTCTCTCTCGTTAGACTCTTTGCTTCTTCTTTGATCTGAA